CTTTCAGCAACGCCTTTAATCCGACAAGGATGACCTATTTCCGTCAGCACTCTACTCAATTGCCTGATCAGTAGCGAGCGATTGACAAAAAGATATGGCAAAATTGAGCTGTCCTACTTAAATTCAATTTAAGTAGTGCATGTCGTCAAATCAGCATTTTCTCTGCATAATGAACCATTTATCCGGTCATTACTGCCCCACTGTCCACACTCTTTTCGCCACTCTTCCTCCCTTGCCTCATTTCACTGCGCACTCGACTTCATCCACGCGATTCCATTTCCTGCACAACTTTGAGCTCAATCGACTCTCTCTCTCTCTCTCACTCTCTTTCTCTCTCTCTCTCTCTCTCGGCCAGTCTCTCTACTTGACCGAGTCAGCTTCCATTTTGACGCTTCTGCTGTGCCAGACCTCGCTAGAGCCTTAAACCCTCGTTCCGAAAATAGCGCCAAAAGACCAAAAGGTGTATGCATGGCTCTTGAGAGAATTGAGATGCCTAACCCAACCCAGACGCTCCAGGTTGGTTCTGCTCACTCCTCTTCCTCGCTTGACCTTGCTGCTCATTCTCTGTCTCTGTTGCTCTCTTTTGTTACTTCCAACCGATAATCAGAGCTCGCTTCTCCCTAATTCCCCGCAAATGCTCCTCCCATTCACGATTCCGGCTGCTTTGCCAATGACTCTTCACTGCCTCAACACTTCCGCCGAATCTGGCAAGAGCGTGTCTTTTTCTTCACTCTTTCTGGCGCCCAATTTTGGCCACATTTTACGTTTTGCCTTGACTACTCCTTCCATACGACTTCTGGCGATCTTGCGCTAGCTTCACCGCTTCTGTACACGCCGACATGTCTCCACCGCACAGTCGCTACGGCACGAGCAAAGCACCTCGCGACGACCTGGTTCCAGCCAGCCTCGAGGGAAGTTTCCGACGTCGAGAGGAATGCTGAACTCTTCTCATGTTCCACGACCTCCTGGCGACATGTTGGCAACGGGAAACGAAAAGTGTTGTCCTACTTCCTGTTACGCCTTAGATGGCCCTTTCCGGTCCGGCGTTGTGACCTAATTGACACATGAACAGAGTGAATAATCAGTGCAACGGATAAGAAACCGAAACAACAAGAATTAGAAACAGAAACAACAAGAATAAGAACCAGAAACAGCAAGAATAAGAAACAGAAACAACAAGAATAAGAACCAGAAACAACAAGAATAATAACCAGAAACAATAAGAATAAGAAACAGATACAACAAGAATAAGAAACAGATACAACAAGAATAAGAACCAGAAACAACAAGAATAAGAACCAGAAACAACAAGAATAAGAAACAGATACAACAAGAATAAGAACCAGA